GGTTTGAGTTTTGGGGTAATTGCCCTAAATGTTTAGGAATTTGGGGCCAAAAAGGGGCCAAAAAACAAGCATTTTTACAGTTTCCAGAAAATAACTTGTGTTCAAGTGTATGGATCTTTCTGAAATTGTACTGCAAGGTACCATACCACAAAGGGAAGGCTGGGATTGAGTTTGGGGTGATGAATCATAAGAGGGTTCAAAAAATTGGGGGGGGGGGGGGTTCCTTTTTTTTTTCTTTAAAATTTTTCATTTTAAGTTGGTTATTTTTGATTTATATATAAAAGCAAATAATAATGATATGGTTTGATTTCATCAAAAATTGAAATATTGGGGTTCTTTGATATGCTGAATCTAACCGTGTATTTAGATTCTTAATTTTTGGTCCCGTTTTCAAATTGGTCTACATTAAGGTCCAAAGGGTCCCAAATTAAACTTAGTTTGATTTTAACAAAAATTGAATTCTGGGGTTCTTTGATATGCTGAATCTAACCGTGTATGTATTTAGATTTTTGGATATTGGACCATAATAGCTAAATTAAAATTTTTTAAGTTCTTAGACCACATTCATTCTGTGTCAGAAACCTATGCTGTGTCAAATATTTAATCACAATCCAAATTCAGAGCTGTATCAAGCTTGAATGTTGTGTCCATACTTGCCCCAGCTGTTCAGGGTTCGACCTCTGCGGTCGTATCAAGCTGCGCCCAGCGGAGCATTTTATTGAAAATGTTAAGTTTCTGTAATGCTTTTAGTAAAACCTTTATCTTTAAGACTTTCAACATAAAATCAATGGTCAGTAAAGCAGGCGAGACTTTTCAGCGTGTGCACTCTTGTTAATTTAAGGGCAAATTACGTGTCAAAAGTTGGTAGTAGATTATTAAATGGGTGGATACTTTCTGCAAGTCATATACATGTCATAAAGTGATGACATAGATCAAGCTTAACTGGTCAAATGTTAAGTCCAATGTCTGTAGGTGATGTACCCAGATGGCAAATAGGGAGCTCGGTTACAAAGTGGTCTTATTATACCCCACAGAACAAAGTTTTTGACCTGTGCGTCCGTCAGTCTGCCAATCTGCCAGTCTGTCCGTCAGTCCTGTTCTTGTCATCGCAACTTCTCGGAAACCACAACAGAATTTCATGAAACTTTGTAGATAACAAGGACATACTATGTAGATGTGCATATCGACAGATAATTGTTATTCTATTTTTTTGTCGGAGTTATGCCCCTTTGAACTTAGAATTTTGGCCTGAACATACTACTGACTGCAACATTTTGTCACCGCAACTCCTTTAAAACCACACACCAGAATTTCATGAAACTTTTAGATAGTTATGACATACTATGTAGATGTGCATATCGACAGGAAAGTATTATTTAATTTTTTTATCTAGGAGTTATGCCCTTTGAACTTAGAATGTTGGCCTAATTATACTACTGCAACAGTTTGTCATTGCAGCATATCCAAACCACACAACAGAAATTCATGACACTTTGTAGATAATAAGAACATTCTATTTAGATGTGCATATCGACAGGAAATTATGATTCTATTTTTTTCTAGGAGTTATGCCCCTTTAAACTTAGAATATTGGCCTAAATATACTACTGCAACAGTTTGTCAATGCTACTCCTCTGAATCCACACAACAGCATTTCCTGAAACGGAGGGGCGTGGGATATGTGAGCGTGCTCACGAAAATTCTTAAATTAGTTCATCTTTAGTGATCACTAGACTGTCAACACTGAGGTTGTGAGTTTAATCCCGCCAATGGCAAGGTGAGTTCCAATCTTAATTGACCACGATTGCAAGTTGTACTGCTGTAGGTTGTGGTTCTCTCCCAGTAGTACGGCTTTTTCCAGACCATCAATAAGTATTGGGCACCATGAATTGATATAGTCAAGAGTGCTGAAAGTGACACCAACAATCCATCAATCACATGACAAAAATCATAAGCCTAGGTAAAAAATACATAAGATCATGGCAACGTAAAAGGTTGAACTTGAGGTTAAAGTTAAAGGTTAAAGGTCACATGAATGAGTTGCAACAAATCATGATGTGTTGTAGACACATGTCAAATATTGAAGTTCTTTGTCAAAAGAAAAAAATATGATCGTGCTCGATTATGCAACTAAAAAATCCATAAAATAATCGGCAGGTCCATTGCACACCACACATCATCTTGAAGCGATGTTTCCACATGCAAAATATCAAAAACCATGGTCAACAGATATGGCCTGGAAACTATCATGTCACTTAACTTAAACTTTGAGTTCACCTTGAGGTCAAAGATCGCATCGAGTTGCCACATGCCAATCACCAAATGCCTTTAAAAAAATCAAAAGTTGATGCCCAGACAAGATCATGTCACCTCAAAATAATAAGTCTTGTATATTTTGCAAAATAATGGAGCATATCATAGCTAGTCAAATAAAGGAACATGTTGAAAAAAAACAATATATTATGTGATCTACAACATGGCTTTGATCTAAACGATCATGCGAGACACAATTAATATCTTTCATACAGGACCTTGCAAAAGACAACAATAACAACATACAAACTGGTGTCATTGTGGTGGACTTTGCCAAAGCTTTTGACAAAGCTCCTCACAAAAGGTCACTGTATAAATTACAATACTATGGCATTAACAATAATACCTTGGAATGGATTAGTGATTTTTACATCAACGTACACAGACAGTCACAATCAATAAAAATCGGGGTAACATCTGGAGTTCCACAGGGCCCCGTGCCTGGCCCAATTTTATTCTTCACTTTATACATTAATGATTTCCCAGAATACTTACAACATAGCACCTTAAGGCTATTTGCTGATGACAGCATCATCTATAGAAACATCAAAAACAAAGATGATGCATTCAAATTACAACAGGACTTAGATTCAGCGGCACAATGGGAAAAAGACTGGTTAATGTTATAACATCCAGACAAATGCTCCATACTAAGAATTACACCAAAAAAACATGAAAAAGAAACGACTCAACCATTACTACTTCCTTCATGGTCACATTCTACAAACTGAAATAGCTGCAAAATATTTAGGCATAACCATCCAATCAGATCTCAAATGAAAAAAAAAACATGTAGATAATAAAACAGCAAATGCACATCGACAGCTAAATTTTCTAAAACGTAACCTAAAAGTATCTTCCAAACAAATAAAAGAAAGGGCATACATGTCATTAGTTAGGCCTAAGCTTGAGTACAGCTCTTGTGTCTGGGACCCTCACAACAAAAATCAAATCAATAAAATTGAGATAGTCCAACAAAGAGCTGCCCGCTATACATGATATAGATACCACAATACCAGCTCTGTCTCAAATATGCTCGAACACCTACAGTGGCCTAAATTACAAATAAGACGAATACAAACAAGACAAGTGGTTTTCTATAAATTTATACACCAACATTTAGCAATCTACCCTAAAGATCTTCTTATTACACCAGACAGTAGAACAAGAGATAAGCATACCAACCACTATAAACAAATTCAAACCAATAAAGATTCTAAAGGAGCTACAATTTGATTTTTATGGGGGGGGGGGGGGGGGGGGGGGGGGGGGGGGGGGGGGGGGGGGGGGGGGGGGCTAGGATGAAATTTGAAAAAAATAGGCAGGACAGGAGTTTTGAGTAAAAAAAAAAGGCAGGATGAGATTATTTGCAAAAAAAAAAAAGGCAGGATGACAATTTATGTAAAAAAAAAAGTCAGGATAAACTAATAAAAAAATAGGCAGGACCGAATAGAGTGAAAAAATAAAAAGGCAGGACCGAATAGAGGGGAAAATAAATAGGCAGGACGAAATTTTTCATCCTAGCCCCCCCCCCCCCCCCCCCATAAATATCAAATGGTAGCTCCCTAACAAATTCTCATTTTATCCGCACACAACAGTACAATGTAACCTAATTCAAACATCAGCAATCCTTTGTACAACAGTTGACGGCTTCAAAGAGCAGATTTTATATCACAAATATTCAGTTAAACACTGCATAACATGTACATAGTTTTACCAAGAAATATTTTATTTTTTCTGTTCACGTAATATTACTGAAAAAATTATTTCTTTCAAATTGTGCATAAGCTACGTAATAGTCAAAGTTGTGACTGAGTGCAGAAATACGAAAATAGAATTAAAGATAGTCCAATGGTGCATGACATATCATCTTGAGTGGGTGTTTAAGTCCAATGGTGCATGAAATATCGTCTTGAGAGAATATATTGTATCCTCTCCAAATATTATTAGGGAATAGCCATTTAACTCTAGAGGGGTAATTTGTGGAGGTGAATAATTATACCTTCATAAGTGTACAGTTCTGTGAATAATTTGTACTTACAAATAACGCCTTTGAAAACTAAACATTTAATATATAACATGACTCAAACACCATCAACATCATTAAGCACTAAATTTCATTTTTTTTACTTCCAGGAAGTTACATATGGACATGCTCAGACATTTTATGTTATTCTTGCAATACTGTTGCAAACATATAGAATGGTCAAAGAGTTAAATTTCTACAATCTAGCCGCAAACATCCCTTATATTCTTGTTTTTTTTCTCTCAGTGCAATCTTACTGCAAACATAATTGTTTCTGCTAACTTACCGCAAGCTTGTATCATTATACTACAGTGTTTGCAGGTTAGAAGCTAGCTGCAAACATTATTTCAAAGTTTTCTGCAAACAAAAAGTTTGCAGCTGTAAGGAGGTTTTTTTTTTTATTCCCAATTCCCAACTTTAAATTAAAAAAAAATGATAAGGGAGAAGGAAAATACAAATTTAATATTTTGATGTTTGGTGTAAATCTACGGACCGTTGCCAAAGCCATTTTTTCCTTGATCTTGTTTTATTATATAACTTTTTTAATAAATAGATACTAGGATAACGGCGGGAAATTGCCATTCGGAAGCCATTGTCAAATATGTTCCAAATGAGAGCACCTGTTCATCGTGATCCCGAAGACGTTTACTTTCGTACAATCGCAAGTGAAGCGTATAATAGATGGTGATGTTCTTGTTTACATGTTGCTAACGTGAGAAGAAAAGAAAGAACGACCAGATTTTGCATTTAAATTTCCATTGATAAGAACCTTGATAAGGCAATAAGGGGTTATCATAATGTATTCTCATACAAACCAGAAAATTGACGAAATAAGGCGGGATATTGATAATATAGCCCAAAGTGGGAATTATTATTGTACGCAAGAAATAGGCAGAGAATTATCAAATATTCGAAATGGACTTGATCATATGAGACTTGACAACAATATATCATCAACTTCAAAATTCAAAGGAAGTCCTGGCATAAATACATACACATGTAAGTATACCCAGAAGTAAAATACTGAGAGAAAAAAAAAACAATGACTGGTGCTGGTTTAACATAACCCTGTGTCTGCTACTCTCCAAACAGGGTTTACATTCATTCCCATTACTAACAACTGGAAAAGTGGAGTTCATAATGTTATAGAAAAATGTCATGTTTATTCCTATTAAACAAATTTCATGACCACGCAGAAAGAATATCCTGTACATTCACATGAATACGGGTCCATTCGCCCAAAATCATGTTTGCTCCCATTCACGTTTGCACAACTCACATGCGCACCCTAGGTCTGTTCGCACCCTTTTTATTGGTTTTTGTATGTTGAAGTTTTAATCATATTCAAGTTATTGTATTGCTACAAATAAGTTTTTCTTATTGTTTTAAAATAAAGTGACATACTAAAAATGTAAACAGGTTTCCTTTAGTGTTTTATTAGTTATTTTGATGAAATGAATCATGTCAGAATAAAAAATTGTCATGAAGATTAAGGCAAAGTTCATTCATCTAAGTCTTGTTAAAGAAAGAGGGAAGATACCAAATCTTCATTGAGTCTACTCATACCAAGCTAACTACATGAGTATTTACATCAAAAGCTAGTTTTAACAACAATCATGATTTTCAAACACAGAGCAATAATACCAAAGGTGGCTTTGTAAATACCAATTAACAGTAAACATACATAATTAACATTTGATAATTAATCATCAAATGACCAAAAAAAAACATATTTCAGTTAAAAATTCCCTAATTTTTATTAAAGAAAATTTAAATATTTTAATAATTATATCTAAAAACATCTAATTATTCAACAAGTATTTGAATAAAAAAAAAGGTGCCAACGAACCCAGAACCGAACTGTGGGGTGCGAACGGACCCGATACCCATCCACATGGAGAATTCATTTCCATTATGTTTTTGAATTAAAACACTTGCCTCTTCAAAGCTTAATCTTGAACTTCATCCTGATAAACCCCCCAAGGGTGACTGGGGAATAGAAGTATGGTCACCATTGGTCTTACTCCGACCGGCAGTAAAACCCGTGCTAAAGTGGGGCGTCCGTTTGGTTGTGCGGGATGTACAAATTTGCAGCCACGTCCGGTCAGAATGGGGACGTTAAATCCGATGCCTCGTGTAAAGAGAGTGCCACGCTCTTTGCACGTTAAGAACCCTTGCAACAACTCTTTGAGGGGTCCGTAGGTGACCTGTTGCAAGGCTAAATTTCTGTCCCTATCCAATATGCCCTCATTTCCCGTGGCAGTCTAAATTTCTCCGACCTTTATCCCTTAATCTATTACAGAACCTACCTATTGTATTTATTGTGAACTTGTTCTCGTCCTGAATATGCATAAAGTATTTGCCACTGGTTGTTAAGCAACTAACAATCAATCAATCAATCATCCTGATAAATTGTTGGTTTATGCTTTAAAACTGATACTTTTCTTAAATTCAGATGTTTCTTTACATGTTATGTACATGCATTCATTCTTGAACAAACAAAAACACATTTAGTTTGCCAGAAGTTGGGATAGAAGCAGACACAGGGTTATGTTATTCAATATTACATGTATATCTAGGGTGTCATTATAGACAAACATGTGTGTAATAATACCAAAAACCTAACAATTCCAGACAGTAAAACACCACAAAACCAATTGTTTGTCGATACTACCATACATTGAAAACATCTATACTGATAGCTTTGTGCATGCTCACTCCACAGATGACTTCAAGACCACCAGTTGGAATCATCCTCTCTTTCTCTCTCTCTCTCAAATTTGGTTTCTATAACTAATACAGATACAGACCATTTCCATTTAAAAAGTGTGCTACACAATATCATCATATGGTCAATTAAACACAGAGTTTTCATCTGGCCCCTACCCAAAACAAAAATTCAACATAACAAATAATAAATTTCTATCTAAGAGTCAATAAGTAATCATGATCAACTATCCATTATGGTAATAACTTTTTTTGGTTGAGTCATGATTACTCACAGTATCAGTATCTTATGATTACAAGTTATTCATTTTTATAGCCAAAGTGAAACTGTTTCAAGGCTGATTTAGTTCAAGCTCATGTTATTCCTGGATATAATTTAAAAATAAAATGTTATTTTTTTTCAGTTCAGCATAACAGTAAGCAATATATAGCCAAGTTTTATTATAATTTGTGAAAATTCTGTGATATCCATCAATTTTCCCTCAATAACTCAGAAGTTCAAGGGATAATTGTTTTGTGAATGAATACATTGTATCTGTATGTTCAGGACAATACCAGTAGCCAAGAAATACAACAGTTTGAATGTTGGCATAATTACTCTACAAATGTAATGTTTGCAAAAACCTTTTACATTTCAAAGAAGCATAGTAGATTAGATTGCCTTTTCAGTAGCACTACAGGTAATGTCAGATATAAACATAGTACAGTAATAAGTATAGGGATGGAATCATATAATATCCTTTTTTTAAATTTTTTAGCAGGTCCTCCTGATTTAGATAGAGTAAGCAATCACCTATCACATCTCAAACATGTTATGGATATTGAGAATCTACAGGGTAAACAGGAAAATCAGTTACGTGAAAGACATCATTACGCAGTGCAGAATCTACGTGGAATCCAGCAGGTAATTGAAATACATCTATTTATAAATAGTTTTCTATATATATATATGTAGGACTCTAAAGTACGATGGTTACGCTAAAGTGCAATAGTCTGCGCTTAAGTGTGATGCCTCCATACGCTAAAGTCTGATGGTCTACGAAAGTATAGACATAAGAAATGTAGTTAGATTATGACGTTAACAGTCGTTTATACAGACCAAAAATGAACATGCTGGAAGATAAATTAAGAATATTTGATTAACAACTTTTAAACCAAATGTCCATGACTTAATTGATTTAAACCTAACCGCTCTATTGGTTGAAGCAAATGTGGTTGTTTTCAGGGTGCTGGAAAAAGGACTTGTATCCTGCAGTCAACCATTTTACTATATAGATACAAAATAGTATACACATATATGTATCCTGTATCCTTCTTCTATTGGAAGCGAACGGATACATTTAAATCATTGTTTATGTTGCAGTTTACTTTGCGGTCCCCGTTAAAGTATTGTAGATTTTATTGAAAAGTAACTTCGGTAAAATAAAAGTACATGTTTTCATGCATGAATTATAAATTGTCGGCTAAAACATTAGTTGTACATTGTAGGAAAATATAACATGTATTTGTACTCACTACGAAAAAGGAGAAAGCTCGGAGAACATCGCCTTTCTCTTTCATATAAATTAAAGCTTAAACAATAAATGTTACATATTCCGACAATGAACGAATTTTGTATTTGTAATTTACAATGACGACTGTAAGGGGAGGTGTTCACATTAGTGATAGACTGTATGAACGGCAAGCTACACCAATTATCCAAATATTTGATATCCCTGAATTGTTAAAAATTCATTTACAGGAAATATAGTATTTTGTGACACCTAAATTATCTTTTAAGCAATAATTAAGTGGTCGGTCTTCAAAATTTATAAACAATCACTTTAGCCTACCGATAAATTATAAAGCCTATCACATATGTTATACCTTAGCATACTATAGCTTTTGCAAAAAGACTATTTTTTAACATCCATGTACTCTAACGTTTTAAGCCCTATAACCTTACCCTTTTGGTCCACTTTATCGTGATATACCATTGTACTTTAGCAAACAAACAACCATTGCACTTTAGCGTGAGACACCATTGTACTTTAGCGTAGACCATCACATTTTAGCGTGACCATCGCATTTTAGAGTACTATTGCATTTTAGCGTCCTACATATATACATGTATAATATAGTACAATTTTTTTTTCTTTGGTAGACTATATAATTATGCCATGTTATTTTTTTTGTGTGTGCATTCCCTAATATTTTTACCTTTAATTCTATTCCTTATGTAACATGTAGACATATTGGCTCTTTATAGGTTTCAAGTTTTGAGACAGCTATCTCCCATTCGGGCAGGTATTCTCACACAAACCATTGCAAACTGTAAAGCACACTTTAAAAAAAAAAATAATAACAATAATCCTAATAATATTTAGAATTTTTACAGTAAAATATCAATGCCCATTTTGACAAGCTATTCCTATGCCTTAATACCAAATTGTTTGTACAAAAACTACATATAATTGATTCACCATTTTACCCATAGAAACTGTACCAAGACAACTCGTGTCGAGAAAAGACTACTGTAAATTTAATAACTTATTTTCGTGATTAATTTATTTTCGCGAGTAGATAAATAACACAAATATAAATGTTCGTGAATATGTAAAATTTGGATCTTTCCATATTCAACTACATCAAGAAAATTTGAAAATCCTGAACTTTGATCATTGCGAAGTGTGCTAGAAAGGGTGAACACGAAATAAAGTATCCTCAAAAATAAGTTGGTTAACAGTATTTAACTGAGGTCCACAGGATTAAGGGAAAATAACCTTTTCAAGTTTCAATAATTTGGGAAATTAAACTTTTGAATGATGGAGGACATAATTGTATTAAACTCTGAACTAAATATGAGGGTATAACTGCTATAGCCAAATACGTTTATTTATTTCTTCTACATGCAAAAATGGGATGGTAAAATTGAAAGGGGATATTTGTACTTCAATCACATATTATCCCAAACATTTGTTTTGCCTATGCACAGTTAATTTTATAAGTGATTACTATTGTTAAGTTTATAATAAAACATATTGTTCTTGGATAATGTACAAATAACAAATAGCCTCCATTGCTTTTGAATTTTTTCATATTTTATTGGTTATATTTGCAAGAGTTGCTATTGCTATAACCATTGTACGTATAAGAGTTTAATTTTTAATAATTTCACATTCATTAAATTAAAAAACAATAAAACTTTAGTCTTTTCAGGACCAAAGTACAAATGCAATCTTATTTCTATAAATATCATTTGGGATTTATATTTCATGCAAAGTTTGCATGCGAAAATATTTGATTTGCTTGTTGTAACCTATCAGTATATAAATGCTGAGCTCTTACATATGTCATAGTAATCTATAATTAAATATGACAACAAGTTAACTGATTTTTACAGTCTACATGTGCATATATAAAGTGTACCAGTATTATTTTGATTTCAAAAGCCTAGATTATTGAACTTCTTTTTCAGCACCTATCTGTCTTTGGATTGTGATGGTAATTTATGACAATGCTTGTAACACAATGATTTTGTAACACACACTAATTAGTGTTGTTGTAAGAGAGAGTGCTGTAATTAAAACATTTCATTATGCAAGACATAAGTATACACACACAAGTTTTTACTTTGTATAAGTGAATTTTTAATTGCACAGGCTGCAATTGAAATTTGTGAAATATAAGGAAACTGCTTATATTTTTTCACCGTAAAATATACCTTTGGAAGCAACCATTTATCATTAAGAGGGGAGGAGTGTAATTTAAATGAAATAATGAAGAACAGTGTTAGGCTTGGAAAAGCTTGTAGCCTCTTCCTACACAGAGTTAAATGCTTGCTTCTTTTTTAAAAGTAAACACTATTGTTACATCATCAACCAGGAATGCATTGATATTTTCCAAGTTAAAGAGTTGATTTTAACAGTAAAGTTAAATTTCCAAACAATAGAAAAATCAATGCCTAAACCCAAATTCAAATATAATTCAGGCAGTAAGAACATAAATTACAATTTGTCTTTGTACTATATTAGTAGTATTAAATGGCACATTCAACCAACTAGCCTTCGCTACTACAGGAAGTTGGTATTTCTGTTTTCCGGTATATAGATGACTTTCTTGATCTTCTCGTCTGACTTAGAGCATTAAGTTGGTTTGTAGGATATTAGACACTCCCCAACAAACTAACTTGACCCACCAGTATGTCACCATTTGAAAATATATTAATTTATCATATCTTTGTAATATTAAAAATCTATGGACTGACTATGCAGACATTATGTTTGCCTTGCTGTAGATAATATTGACCTAAAGTTATTACAATATAGAAATTATTGTAATGTGTTTATTATTGCAAAAATTGCCATGGAATAGTGTTGTTAAAATAAAAACTTTCATTTTAGATTTCGATAGCATAATGAAGCATTTCCTGAAATTGCAATAATTAATCTTGCATGTGTGTTCATTAATAAAACAGACCTTTAAGTTTTCTGCTGAAGAATATACTGATGAATATGATTTTATAGAACAGAAAATAATGATCTTTTATTTTGCTAATTTTTTCTGCTCTTGATTTTACTTTAAAATAATATAAAGTTACAAGTATTCAGTAAACATCATAATGTATATAAACTTGCAAAAAACATTTGCCTTATTAAATTTCTGAGTTATCTCCCATTATCAAAAAAAGAATCTAATCTTCCATTCTAATTATCTTCATTGAGATTTTATATCAAAATTCTATAAACAATTAGTTACATATTGTCCTATATTGAAATCTATACTTGTAACTGATCTATGTCTTCAGAGATTAAAATGTTGATAATTTCAAAATTCTTTGATTTGTATAGGACAAAACAAAAGACTACATATTGACCTTTTGTTGTCAATCACAAAACCAGATTTTTAAACATTTTTAAAAACTGAAAAAATTTTATGCTTGACAGTAGCAATATAGATATTTTAAAACCATTAGTAGTAGAGAAGAATTAAACAGAATAGCTTTCATTCTAAGCTTCTGTTATTTCCAATAAATTCTTCTGTAACTTTACAAATCAAAGTGAAAGACGTCAAAATACGGACCCTTAGACATGTATAAATATATCTGAAGAAAAGTGTATCAGAGCATCAAGAACTTAAGGACTGTTGTCACTCAAATTTCATTCGAAGGAAAATAATCTACCAAAGACATTGTTTTTAGGATTATAAAATAAGTCATGTTATTCAAAAGAAAGGTTTGTATTTATACTGTTTTTCAACTTGTGGTGTTATATTTGTATTTACAGGACATCTTCTTTGCATTTTATTTTTTTTCACAATTGTTGTGGCTAAATAGGATGGTTTTTGAGTGTTTGTTGTTTTGAAACTAAGATGCAGAATGGTTTTTTATTGCCTTTGCTAACCTACAATTTTACAAAATGTTTACAGCACTTGGTTTTTTTTTGAGAATTTGTTTTTTCTTTTTAATTTTTCTACTTGAGTTAATATATCTATTGGTCTGAGGTCAAAGGTTCAAATTAGTGCAGGTCAGAGTTCCGGAGCCTGACTATTCTGTGAAGGAAGCTTTGATATTGATAAATTACAAAAGTCCAATACCACCCAATTTTTACATTGATGCTTTAAGAGGGACCTATGACTTTCTTTAGAAGGGCTTTTCTCTTCAAAATTCAAATCTCCTTCCTGGACCTTTCATTCTTAAATGCAAACTTGAATTCTTGCAGATATGATTGATCAGATAATGTTTTACTTCAAATTATAGAAGTTATCCCACTTTGTATAACATTGTTCACCTGTTGCACAATTATTTCATCTTTGAATAAACTGCAAATGCAAATGTTGAGAGCATTGTTGGTACCATACTACAGAAATTACAAGAAATCTTTTTATTTTTATGTTTGACATTGTATATGCATGCTGTTAATATGGTTAAATTACTATATAGTACATTGTTGTGGTACATTGAAGCCAGTCTTAGTCAATAATCGAGAACCTGTCTAAATCAAAATCTTGTATCAGGGCATACATTAAATATTCTTGACACCTGTAAAAATTGAACCAATTCTCAGTAAGTTTTAAAATTGTTAAATTAAGGCAGGTTTCAATTTATTACATTGGCTTTCCACAACACAGCATCATATATTATTTTACTCTTAGCCATGTATTATTCCATTTATTTGAAAGCCAAATGTTTTCCACACTTTTTTTTATCTCACCTGGCCCGAAGGGCCAAGTGAGCTTTTCTCATCACAGTTGGCGTCCGGCATCGTCGTCCGTCGTCGGCGTTAACTTTTTACATTTTGAACTTCTTCTAGAGAACCACTGAATGGAATGAAACCAAACATGGCATGAATGTTCCTTATGAGGTGCTGACCAAGTGTTGTTACTCTGTAGCGGATCCATCATCCAAGATGGCCGCCAGCGTGGGACTTAGTTTAACATAGGACCCTATGGGAAATACATACAAATGTCTTCTTTTAGAGAACCACTGAATGGAATGAAACCAAACATGGCATGAATGTTTCTTATGAGGTGCTGACCGAGTGTTGTTACTTTGAAGCTGATCCATAATCCAAGATGGCCGCCAGCGGGGGACTTAGTTTAACATAGGACCCTATGGGAAATACATACAAATGTCTTCTTTTAGAGAACCACTGAATGGAATTAAACCAAACATGGTATGAATGTTCCTCATGAGGTGCTGACCAAGTGTTGTTACTTTGAAGCCGATCCATAATCCAAGATGGCCGCCAGCGGGGGACTTAGTTTAACATGGGACCCTATGGGAAATACATACAAATGTCTTCTTTTAGAGAACCACTGAATGGAATGAAACCAAACATGGCATGAATGTTCCTTATGAGGTGCTGACCAAGTCTTGTTACTATGAAGCTGATCCATAATCCAAGATGGCCGCCAGCAGGGGACTTAGTTAACATTGGAACCTATGGGAAATACATACAAATGTCTTCTTTTAGAGAACCACTGAATGGAATGAAACCAAACATAGCATGAATGTTCCTTATGAGGTGCTGACCAAGTGTTGTTACTTTGTAGCGGATCCATCATCCAAGATGGCCGCCAGCGGGGGACTTAGTTTAACATGGGACCCTATGGGAAATACATACAAATGTCTTCTTTTAGAGAACCACTGAATGGAATGAAACCAAACATGGTATGAATGTTCCTTATGAGGTGCTGACCCAGTGTTGTTACTTTGAAGCTGATCCATAATCCAAGATGGCTGCCAGTGGGGGACTTAGTTTAACATGGGACCCTATGGGAAATACATACAAATGTCTTCTTTTAGAGAACCACTGAATGGAATGAAACCAAACATGGCATGAATGTTTCTTATGAGGTGCTGACCGAGTGTTGTTACTTTGAAGCCGATCCATAATCCAAGATGGCCGCCAGCGGGGGACTTAGTTTAACATAGGACCCTATGGGAAATACATACAAATGTCTTCTTTTAGAGAACCACTGAATGGAATGAAACCAAACATGGTATGAATGTTCCTTATGAGGTGCTGACCCAGTGTTGTTACTTTGAAGCTGATCCATAATCCAAGATGGCTGCCAGTGGGGGACTTAGTTTAACATGGGACCCTATGGGAAATACATACAAATGTCTTCTTTTAGAGAACCACTGAATGGAATGAAACCAAACATGGCATGAATGTTCCTTATGAGGTGCTGACCAAGTCTTGTTACTATGAAGCTGATCCATAATCCAAGATGGCCGCCAGCAGGGGACTTAGTTTTACATTGGAACCTATGGGAATTACATACAAATGTCTTCTTTTAGAGAACCACTGAATGGAATGAAACCAAACATGGCATGAATGTTTCTTATGAGGTGCTGACCGAGTGTTGTTACTTTGAAGCCGATCCATAATCCAAGATGGCCGCCAGCGGGGGACTTAGTTTAACATAGGACCCTATGGGAAATACATACAAATGTCTTCTTTTAGAGAACCACTGAATGGAATGAAACCAAACATGGTATGAATGTTTCTTATGAGGTGCTGACCCAGTGTTGTTACTTTAAAGCTGATCCATAATCCAAGATGGCTGCCAGTGGGGGACTTAGTTTAACATGGGACCCTATGGGAAATACATACAAATGTCTTCTTTTAGAGAACCACTGAATGGAATGAAACCAAACATGGCATGAATGTTTCTTATGAGGTGCTGACCGAGTGTTGTTACTTTGAAGCCGATCCATAATCCAAGATGGCCGCCAGCGGGGGACTTAGTTTAACATAGGACCCTATGGGAAATACATACAAATGTCTTCTTTTAGAGAACCACTGAATGGAATGAAACCAAACATGGTATGAATGTTCCTTATGAGGTGCTGACCCAGTGTTGTTACTTTGAAGCTGATCCATAATCCAAGATGGCTGCCAGTGGGGGACTTAGTTTAACATGGGACCCTATGGGAAATACATACAAATGTCTTCTTTTAGAGAACCACTGAATGGAATGAAACCAAACATGGCATGAATGTTCCTTATGAGGTGCTGACCAAGTCTTGTTACTATGAAGCTGATCCATAATCCAAGATGGCCGCCAGCAGGGGACTTAGTTTTACATTGGAACCTACGGGAATTACATACAAATGTCTTCTTTTAGAGAACCACTGAATGGAATGAAACCAAACATGGCATGAATGTTTCTTATGAGGTGCTGACCGAGTGTTGTTACTTTGAAGCCGATCCATAATCCAAGATGGCCGCCTGCAGGGGGACTTAGTTTAACATGGGACCCTATGAGAAATACATACAAATGTCTTCTTTTAGAGAACCACTGAAAGGAATGAAACCAAACATGGCATGAATATTCTTTATGAGGTGCTGACCGAGTGTTGTTACTTTGAAGCCGATCCATAATCCAAGATGGCCGCCAGCGGGGGACTTAGTTTAACATGGGACCCTATGGGAAATACATACAAACGTCTTCTTTTAGAGAACCACTGAATGGAATGAAACCAAACATGGCAAGAATGTTCCTTATGAGGTGCTGACCAAGTGTTGTTACTTTGAAGCTGATCCATCATCCAAGATGGCAGCCAGCGGGGGACTTAGTTTAACATGGGACCCTATGGGAAATACATACAAATGTCTTCTTTTAGAGAACCACTGAATGCAATGAAACCAAACATGGCATGAATGTTCCTTATAAGGTACTGACCAAGTGTTGTTACTATGAAGCCGATCCATAATCTAAGATGGCCGCCAGCGGAGGACTTAGTTTAACATAGGACCCTATGAGAAATACGTACAAATGTTTTCTTTAGAGAACCATTGAATGGAATGAAACCAAACATGGCATGCATGTTCCTTTTGAGGTGCTGACCAAGTGTTGTTACTTTGAAGCTGATCCTTCATCCATGATGGCTGCCAGATGGGGACAATGTTTAACAAAGGACCCTATGGACAATACATACAAATGTCTTCTTTTAGAGAACCACATACTGAATGGATTGAAACCAAACATGGCATGAATGTTCCTTATGAGGTGCTGACTAAGTTTTGTTACTTTGAAGCTGATCCTTCATCCATGATGGCCGCCAATGAGGGGACTTCCTTTAACATAAGACCCTATGGGAAATACATACAAATGCTTCTTCTAGAGGTGCACTGAATGGAATGAAACCAAAACATGGCATAAATGTTTCTTATGAGGTGCTGATTAAGTGTTGCTACTTTGTTGCCGATTTACTGTTCAAGATGGTCACCAGGATTTTTTATTAAATTACAGGACCAATATTAAACCAAATTTGGCCTCACTCTTTTTTAGGGTATCTGTTATGATTTTAATCTATTTTTACATGATTTCCAAAACCAAAGTAGAATCAGGTGAGCGACACAGGCTCTTGAGAGCCTCTAGTTTTACCATGCCTTTAGAAATGAAAGTAACAGCTATATCATACATTGTTTTTTACCAAAAATTGATACATTTTGACTGAAAGTGAAAATTTTTCACTTTTCAAAACACTAATTTAATTCATTAGTACTGAAAATCACCATAATGAAAGGCTGGGAAGCATGACATTTTAATTGTCACCATTAGATGTATAAGACATCATTGTGCACAAATGTTTGTGAATACATTATACTATCTGTTCTAAAACAATGCAAAAAGACTGTTATTTGTTTTATTAAAACTATCTTATAAAAAGATATACAAATACAGTTCACTATCTGTTACTGGCACATACCATTTGATCTATTAGTTTGTATTACTATTTAACTAACACTCATATTTTTTAAATCAATAATGGCCACAGCAAATCTGGAAGATCACCAATGTGAGTCCTCCATGTGAAAAGGTACAAACATTTTTTTTTTTGGAAAACTTAAGGGGACAGATCTTAAAAGTTAAAATTGAATTATTTTTGAAAAATTCACCATAAAAACTGTATAATTTTTCATGGATAAATCAGTCACAAAAAATAGCTGGTTTACAGTGACTATTAAAATACCCTTTTAAAGTTTTTCATATCTGTATAGCTTTCAGTGTTGAAGTATAAATGACATTAGTTATATTTGATAAATATGAAACTGAAAAGCTATATGAGCATTCCACTTGTACTCACTTTCTCATTATCTTTTTAAGGATCTGGATCCCCACACTTACCAGGCTGCAGATAGAATTCGTCAGTTTGGGGATCACATAGGTGTCACTGACAGCTACACTGGTTACCGTAACAATCTCTCCCGAGGATCCAGGGAACCATTCCAAATGAGAACAGCATGGGCGGATAAGAATTGCAATACTGGATACATGGGTGCTCTAAATGCTGCTAGGAAATTTCATGGTAATTTCTTTCATAGATATAGAATTTGTTTTAAGATGTGTATTTCCATGCCATGCTACAGCTGAAAAATTGTTGAATCATCTTCTTTAGTTTGATGCGCTGCAAAAGATACTCAGTACATTTCTTAAGGTTGAAATCTCCCCTATTTTGGACTTCAGTAGATTGCCATGTTTCTCTGCAAACTTTCACATTAAAATGTCAATTACTTGATGTCCTTGTAAATGTTTATTTCCTGGAAAAAAAAATTGGTTTTATCATCAAACAAGGGTTTCTTTTTGAATTATATATCAATAAATCCATTCAAAGATCTACAACATTGTAGACTAATTTATGATTAAGGACCATTTTTAATTTCAGTGGAACTAATTACAGAATCAATGCAATGAGTGCCGATCAACTATTTTAAAAAGGATTATGTCCCTTTGAAATGTAATTTATATTGATACTTTAATTTTGACATTACAGAAGACAGAGAAAGGCAGTCAGCAATGATGAGACCAAAGACTGCCCCATCATTACTTGGAAGTAAAATACAGTATGGTTTTAATGCACAACCAAAGTTTGATTACAGAGGTATTATTTTACACCATTTCTACCTTTATTTCTGGTCACAAAATATCTTATGCCTTTACATTTGCACCTCAGTTTTGAACTCTTCATCCAAGTATTTAAAAAAGTATTTTCTTGGCCCTTTTATAGCTTACTATATGGTAATGAGTTTTGCTCATTGTTGAAGGCTAATTAACTATGACCTTGTTTGCTTACATCCTCATTCTTTGTTATCGGGTGGATAGTTGTCTCATTGGCAATCATATCACATATCCTTATTTTTATATTTATATATTTATATAAGTACATGTATATATAAATGGATGTATTGTCTACAGTTTACTAGAATAAGTCATAAAGGCAGATTATCAGAGGATTACTTATAGGCGCTATTGCCCTTAATTTGGCATTTTTGACTTATTCTTCCCCCAAAATATTTCAGGAGCATATAGTTGTTGCATTGTCCATTCTTCTTTCTGTCTGTCTATCTGTTTGTTGAAAAAAATAGTTTCCAGATGGTAACATGGCCCAAGAACACAGTTATTTCGTAGTGCATTTCTTTTAGACAATAAGTTCAAATTAAAAAAATCACACCTGTTTTATCTCAAAAAGATTTTTACCGTGTTGTGTACTACTTTTGGAACAAATTATAGAAAAATTATAGAAAAAAAATTTACCAGCTATAACTCAACATATGGATAATTCTATGTTAAGGGGGTCTATAATTCAGTTTGACAGCTTCAGATATAACAATTTTTTACCTTTCTTAACGGAACCAAATCACTACTTTGCCTAAAAATTCATCACCCAAATTTTTTTAACATGTAATTTCATCCCCCTACTTAATATTTCATGCATAAAATTTAAAGAAATAAATTTGCAAGTTATACACTGTCTACACTAGGGACTGTTTTGTAGACAATGAAAATTAAAGGACGATAAACTAGTCTTCGGACTACATGACTTTCCTTTGCTTAAGTAGAACGAAATTTGTACAAATGGAAAATATAGGGTAGGGGAAGAAGCATATTGAACTTTGGGTCAAAATTCAAAGACACTGCTACTAGAATTGCAGTTTGTTTGGAAAAATGCTTTCAGATGTTAATTTGAATTTTGCTAGCTTGATAAGTACAAAACATATACAGATGGATGGTTTTAGTTTTTCTGGAACATTTTTATTTGGTATGTGATTCTAGACCATGGCACCCCCCTGGCTAAAAAAAAAACAATTAAGGACCAAAAAAAGTTTCTGAATATGAAGACTCTGGAGGTTTGGACGCCCCAAACAGGTTTTCTGTATACTGGGGCTGTGGAGGTGTGGATGCCCCCAAAAGGGTTTTCTATATACTGGGGCTGTGGTAAAAGTCTTAGTAACAATTTTGGTTTCTACATAGATCACTGATATAAAGGTTACAAGCTTAGAATTTTTGTGCCTTAAGGGCATACGTAACAGTTTTGATCCCACGGTGATTTTTTTACGAAAATATGCATACAAGCTATTTTTTACCTAGTCAATGCAAATATGAAATAAAAAATATACCTTCATGTACTACTTTAAGAGATAAATGGGGTAGAAATTTTAGACATTTACTCAAAATTTCGATTTTTGGAACATTTCTATCCTTTGGATAGACATACCTAGCTTTTTTGTTTCAAAAGATAAACACAATAGGATTTTTGTAAAAACATTTGGAAAATCTCTTTTACATAAGTATGCTCTAAATTTTTATAACAATTCTTTGGAAATAATTAATTTTTATCAAAGTTTCAGGATTTTAGGAAAAAAACAGAATTTTTTGCTGTATACTTATCTAATTTTAAAAAGTCTCATCGGTGACTTTTTCATAAAAATTGGTACAAATAATCTTCATACGTAATCAATCCTAATGTCATTTAAGAAAGAGGGGTCCATGAACTCGTTTTCAAGTTATATCAGTCTGAATGATAAAAATAAGTCGAAAAATGCATCTTTTCCCGATATGTCGCAGTTTGACATTTTACCTAGGCAACGTCATTACCTCCCCCGTAACTGTATCGTATGCCCTTAAAAAATTTCTAAGAACACTGACCTGACTTTTTATACACCTTAGAGTACTTAGTCCTTGCTAAGTCATATTTTTTTTTTTGGATTATAACTCAAATATCCAATTATGGATTGTAAACAATTTTTACAGATAAAAAAATATTAATAAAAGTACATGTTTTCTTTGTCCTTTCAAAGTATACTATTGTGAAATCTTTGAAATACAAAACAGACCATACATGATGCTCATTTTGTTTCTCTCAATAGATTTGGAATTCTGGAAGCATCTGTTGGCAGTGTCATCAACTTTTCACTTGTTGCTTATAATGTCTTGAAAATTTTCATAGATAGCTATATAGACAGACAGAAATTGTAGACAGCTAAAAAAATAAAGTGATAAGCAATACATGATCTGCAAAAAATGATGATATGACTGAATCCATCAACTGACTCTTCAGTCACTCTTGATAGGACTCATGATTGCCAATAAATCACAATTTTTCCATTTTTGTGTTGCTGCCTGTCATCTTGAAAATATAATAGATAGATAGAAAATGGAAACAGCAAAAATCATCAGCAATACAAGATCAACCAAAATGCCTTCATAAATGAAACTTTCATTTGAGTCCAATAGCTGTTTTCATTTTTCATATTGTCTTGAAAACTATAATAGATAGACATGTTTAACCCAGCCACATTCTATATGTGCCTGTCCCAAGTCAGGAGCTTGTAATTCAGTGTTTGTTGTTGGTTGATGTGTGTCATATTTGTTTTTTAGCTCACCTGACCCAAAGGGCCAAGTGCACTTTTCTCAAGACTTGTCTAGCAGTTTCAGAGTAGAAGATTTTTGTTAAGTTAACAGACGACATTGGATGCTGAGGGAAGCCAAGGGACGCTGGACACATCCCACTGGTCCCTCAACGTCCAACGTCGTCTGCTAACTTTTACAAAAATCTTCTACTCTGAAACTGCTTGGCTAAATTGAACCAAACTTGGCCATAATCATCATTGGGGTATCTAGTTTTAAAAATATGTCTGATGACCTCGCTTGCCAACCAAGATGGCAGGCATGGCTAAAAATAGAACATAGGGGTAAAATGCAATTTTTGCCTATTATTTTTGAAACTGCTATAAATAGAGAAAATCTGACAGTGAAAACATGTTCAAAATGTTGAGCTCTACCTATTGTTCATTTAAGTCAAAACTGTCAGATGACTTCTTATGAGAGTAATTGCCCTTAAATGACAAATTTTACCATTTTTTAAAATGTTTGCCTTTCATCTGGAAAATGATAACAGATAGACAGGAACTTTAGATAGCAAAAATGATTAAAAAGACAAGATCTACAAATAAGTCAACATGACCAAAATTGTCAGACGATTCTTTATTAGAGTTATTGTCCTTTAATGCCAAATTTGCATATCATCTTGAATACTATATAAATAGACAAAATTGTAAGTAGAAAAAACGATCAGCACTATAAGATCTAAAAATAAACTTAGATATTGCCTTAAAGGAAGATTTTCTGAATTCAGCATTTCTGCTTGTTATCTTGCAAACTTTTTTTAGAGAGACACAATTTGTAAACAGCAAAAATTTTCAGCAATACAAGATCTACAAAAGTCCAAATATGAGTAAAACCATCAAATAACTCCAGTCTTTATAGAAGTTATTTATTGTCTTTAAACAGCATTTTTTGATGGTCTTGATTTCATTTGAAAGCACTTAAATAGATACAAGTTTTAAAATTAGATTGTTGATCAAGATTAAGGTTAAAAAAATAACAATATAGCTTGTTTTTTCCAGGTGAGCAACTCAGTCTTTAGTTTTAATTTCCATTTATCATTATTTCATATTTTATAGTTGACTTTTGTGTCTGCTTGTTGCAAAAGGAACAAAATGTATACTGATTTTATTTCTTTTTTTTTTTTAATTTTTAGGGGGGTGGGGATGGACAAATTGGAACTCTTTATCTACCAGCAGTGTTAAATGAAACATGCTTAATTTGTGGTACAAACTATATTTGAAGTACTTTACTGGATAAAGCTTCACCTGGCATGCATAGAGCCATGGTTTTCAAAATTGAAGATCAGGGGTTTAAATGTCAGTTTTCATAAAAAGTAATTAAAAAATTATCAACTGAGAGTTCTTCAAAATATGTGCTATTAAATTTTTGTAATAGAGCATGCAGTAAAATATCAGATTTTTTAGAGATGCTTAATCTGTGTGCTTTGCTTTTATGTAATTTCTGAAACTGAAATAAAATTTCTGTATACCAATACTCATGTAGAAGGGTTTTTTGCTGGTGTTATTTATGATTAGCAGTTTAGGACTAAAAAATTTGTGTATTTCATTTTGCTGCTGAAAAATTTTAAATAATTATTTTGCTTAATTCTGAACTGTATGCAGGTTAAAAGTAAAGGACTACTGTTAAGTCAGAATTAATGAGATGTTTTATAATTGAGGAAATGAAAATAACACTACCGTATCTGGTCCTCAATAATAAAAACTCACATTCATTATTTCAATAGAGATTTTTTTTCGCAAACTTTTATCCAATGGTCTTTATCGAAGGCCTCACTGTGACTTTGAGATGAAGAACAGCAATAAAAGCACTGTTCCTTTGCTTTTTGTGTATTTTGCTGTGCATATACCGATTTTGTGACATGGATGGAATACCCCATATCCTTTCTTTTCTATTTTAGATTTGTCCTAGCTGATTAATCTTTAAAATTTAAAATTAACAATGTGATAAACTAAAAGTTTACATATGGACGCCATTAAGTACCAAAAACTATATAAATCATTTATTGATTTTTATTTATCTTTAGTCAATAGTTACAAATAGTTACTTGTCTTTCTTTTTGAACTCAAAGGCGTTCAACTTTACTTTATATCCCTATATATGCGTCAAATTGTATTTGAATTGCTTAACTTATTGTTACAAAGTGTTTAAGAGTGTTCTTACATTAGGATTTGCTAAAAAAAAATGAATATGCATGTTTATAGTGATAAAAAATATATAAGAAAAGTAATATTACCACATCATTCAATGATAGAATCAGAGAGGCCATTTTAGGTGGTTCAAGGAAATGGTAGAGCTCTGAAGGATTTATTATATATAACTTGTTACCTTTGCCAGCTTGTTGTGTGGAATATTTTGTTGTACCTTTAAGTATTTTAGATTATTCCTCGATCCTTTTTTCTTTTTTCTCCACAAAGCTTAGATTTACAGCATTTGTATGAAGTTTTAAATTTCCTATGTCTTTTGGTCTTTCTTATTTATTGATCAAAGTTATTAACAAAAATTTAATAAACTAATGCTGTAATTGTCCACACTATGGTGAAAATGCAGCATAGCATAATTTGATATTTAATTCTCCAATAAATATTCGAACATTTAAATGTACATTGTTCAAATTGAACAGGTTCAATACAACTAAAAATAGATTAAATATGAGAACAAAAGAGTTGTAATGATATAGATTTTTATACCCTGATTATTAATCTTTAATGTGGTAGCTAGGTAGGAAAACGACAACAACGAACAACCATATCTACAAGGTATAGTGTAGTGTTTCTTCATGAGTTTAAACTTCTTTATATTACATAAATCATCAAAAATTTGTTAACAGTTAGGATTTAAAAGAAATTTTAAACAAAAGGTAATTAAGTTTTTTAAGATAAATGAAAGTTTTGATAATTTTTATGTGTGGTCTCAAATTTCATGTTGCTTTTTAATATCTTGGACATGTTCAGGATACAAATTCCTTATTTATAGTAAGATTTTTTTCTGGGAATAAATAGAGAATCAATGCTTTCTGAAATACAATATGACAATTGAAAATACAATACTTTTTTGCCTTTTTGGACAACTGAAAATTTTGACAATTACAGCAGAATAGCGTCTTAAAAAAATCTGTGTGTCAGTCTTGTATTCTGTTCAAAGGATCAACATTTTATATAGTGTTTCTTGTGCTATATTAAAAGATGTTTTTTTTGTCATTTTGGATCAAGGACATTACACCAAATTTGTCTTGGTGCTCATGACTTTTGCAACCATACACTCCCAAGAAAATGAATTCATTCATTCTTCTAAACAGTTTATGTCAGACTATTATATGTTGGGGATCAATTTTTCGTGGATTTCATTGATACAGGTGAACCACAAATTTAGATATTCAATGAAGTACACATTTTCTATAGGCTTCAATACAGACTTTGTCAAAACCAGGAAATCAAATATCCACGAAATTGCAGTTTTTCACCAATCCACGAAAATTGGTAAACACGAAAGTAAATGAATCCACAGTATATCCTAAAAACAGCTTTGCCATGAGAACTCTTAATAACCTCATGACAAATTGTAAATATTTTTGTAGCATTAGCCAGTGGTGGATTTAATGGGGGTGGGGGCACTCAGAAAAATTATCCTTTTTTCAGTTTTATGAAATAACACACACCTTCCCCTTTTCAAAAATCCTGGATTTGCTACTGACAGCCACACCTAATTCTTAACATTAAAAAAACATTGGAAACAAGACCTGGAATAGTGGCATAAACTTATGATACTTAATAAAAAACCCCAAATAATTTATTAGCACATGTATAACATAATTGGAACAAAGCTCAAGAAAAACCAACAATGCACTGTAGATAAAACTGTATAAAACATGCTCAAATTTATTTATCTAGTGACATTTAAATCATGTATTCTTACTATCTTATGAGTTTTGTCGGATATAAATCGACCTTATGCAAGTGCACGTATACATGTACATGTATAAGACTTTGATTGATTTTGGAACACTCAAATACGAAATAAAAGATGAATTTTTGGTTCTTATAACAACTCAATTTTCAAACAGTTACAAACTTTCCATAAAGATTTTTTAACCTGAAATAGGTTAACAGATGTATTGATATTCATTTGCATAAGGTTGATTTCTATCTGACACGGCTCTTATATTGGTTCCTACACTAGTACTTCACAATAGAATTTATGTTATCAACATCATCTATAGTGTAAGAAAATTAAAGCACATCTAGAGGTTGACATAGGGTTTTCAATGATAGGCAAAAGTCCATACAATATGTCAAGCTCTGAATTACAAAAATACATACCAATGCTAGTTCTAATGATCCATTATCTGATTATCTTCACAGGTACAATATGAACTTAAATCAAATTGAATCACATGAAGAGAATCATTAAAATAATATAAAAGTATACTTCATGGACAGTCTGTGGAGTATTTATTTCACAATCTGCTTACATATACAGATTGTGAAGACGTATACTTTTACACTTTAGTAAAAAAAAAATGGTGAAAACTTTAATTTGGATATTTTTTTATGATTAATTTTGGAGGATATCAGAAAGAAACTAAATTTTGAAATCTTAATAAGGTTAAATGTGGACAGTGTCCTTCTCTCTCTGATTTTTGAACTAATTTGTATTTTTCTGTTACAGGTTACCAGACAATTGACAGTATATACCCACGCAGCAATACTTTTCATCAGACCAGTGGTCCTGCAGTTAGTTGGAAATTGAACGAGACCAAAGCAGAAAACAGTTTAAATAAATTTCCCAGGGAAAGTCCATATCAGACCATGACTACCACAGATCCAAGAGGAATGCAGTGCATGTCTGTTCAGGAACAGGCAGGGATCAATACAAGATTCCCAGGACCAACAGAGTATTCGACCAAGTTTGAGCGACCCCCAATGGACATACCGACAAGTGCATTTAACATTAATCCAACACCAAACTTCCACCTTCATGGACGTCCACTTGGAACGGAAACATATGATGCCTGTAATACAGAGTATCAAGTTAGATACGAATGGCCTGATAGCAATAAAATTGTGAGAATGCCATGGTTACGAAAATAGACATAATATAAAAAAAATTTAATTTGCAAATTCATCAAGCTGTAATTTTTAATATTGTTACTTTGCTATAGTGTTGTTGAGATACAGTTGTTGCAATGGTTTTACATGGAGGATGGTGCCAGTGATTTTTATAGGAAAAAAATCGTGTAATTTGGAAAGAAAGATCTGATGTAAATAAGCCTTTAGACAAATCAGCATTAGTTTCTATTTAGTAAATTCTATTAACTCTTCACTAATATGTTATATTCAAGAAAGATGCAAAGACTAAAACTTAATGTAGAAAAGCTTCATAGATAGAAATATCAAAACACATACAATATATTACTCTATAGGGCTTCTTTTTTCGTTCATGGATTTTGTTTAAATGAAGAAAACACAAAACTCCTTATCTTTCAAATAAAAATGATAGAATTAAAGAGAAAAAAAAAAAGAAAGAAAAGGAAAAGAAAGAAATTTAATATTTTATCAGTTTTGGACTCCCATGAGTTCTATTTCATAAAAAGTTGTACAAAATCAGGTTTTTGTGTAAACTCAACTGTAAGAGTATTAAAAGTATGTCCTTCCTAATGCTTCGTTTTAGAATATATTTGAATAGAATGCACATGTATAAAACCAGTCTGTGAATTCAAATTCACACATGTAACAGGAAAACTTTTTTGTATCAACTGAAATCCTTGAAATTTCAGTCTGAACGGTCATTTGTCTTGAAACATTCAAAAGATGACCAAATACAAGTCTGACTGTAACAAAGAAATTGATTAGCATAGTTTATTAACACATATCTTATTAAAGGTAGCATATTGTAATTTATATGTCTGATATATATATATTTATTTATTTTGATAACAATATTTTCAATCTTCTTTTTAAAAAGTTTTATATTTACACGTAATTGTTGAAATATTAATGTAATTTGAAATACTTATACATTTTTAGATGTGGTTGTAACATAATCTCTTTAAGTTTTTTTAAGACTGTTTTTATTGCTTCGTCTTTCTTTTTAATTTATTTTATAGCAAAAATTGAAAGGATATTAAATTTACCAAAGATTACAGAAAATATTAGCTAGGATATATTATATATTGACTGTTATTGTTAGTTATTGATGGGTTGTTGTCCCTGAATTTTGTTACAAAAGTTATAATTCCTGCACAGCATTTGTTAAAAATTTTGATACAAATTATGATATTTAACTGTGTTTAAAGGAATGTTGCAATTTAAAAAGGAGCTTGCTCACTTACTCTAAATCAAATAGCATAGTATAGGGGAGATAACTCTATTTTCTATGTCCTTTGTTATGTATTGTATCTGTGATCATTATAGTAAAATTGCCTTATTCTGTCATATTGGCGATAAAAATTATCATAATATTTGTTTTTGTTAAATTATTTAGTTGTATTAATTTCCAATAATATCAATAATAACATTAACAGTGCAATTATGCTGCACCAGATGTGCATTATAACAATTAATGTCTCTTCAGTGATGATCGAGGCTGAAAAATTTGAAAAGCCAAAACCTGATAAAAACTTTGAAGAGCTTATCAAACCAGAAAGGACCTAAAATTATAGCCAAATCCCGACAAGGAATCAGACCTTTGCATTAGGGAGATATATTTCTTAATTTAAAATGATTTCCAAAATTTTATAACAGCAATTTTCAACCAACAATTAATATCTTTATTTTTATGCCAGTACTAAAGTGCTGGTTATTTGGTTGGTGATACCCTTGGGGACTTACAATCCACCAGTATCAACCCTGTGGTAGTAATAATATTAACTGTTCTAATTTTACTGCACTCAATGTGCAAATCGACAATTATTGTCTCTTCAGTGATGCTCAAGGCCAAAATATTTGAAAATTTAAAACCTAAATATTCAAAGTTCAAAACTGATTGATTTTGATTTTGATTTTTGTGTTTTTAACGCCACTATTGGGCTATTTTGTGGCGGCTAGTTTTTATTGGTGGAGGAATCTGGAGTGCCCGGAGAAAACCACCGACCTTCGATAGGAAAACTGACAATCCTAGTCAATTAAGATTGGAGTTGAGTGCACCCGCATGAGTGGGGTTCGAACTCACAACCTCAGTGTTGACTGGCTAGTGATTACAGTAGTAACTACTTAGACCACTCGGCCACCGAGGCCTCGAAGTTCAAAACTGAGAACTGGTTAAAACAAAAAGAAAGTATAGCCACCTCTGGACAAGGAAGCAGCTGATGATTTAATTCAAACAATTTAAACTTGAAATGGTACTAATATATGTCCATTACTTTTAACATTATTTCAGCATGTTTTGGCTTCCTAGTTCATTGATAAATATTATGAAATTTGCCACTTTATATGTTCTGCTGTACAGATTTGTTAAAATCAAATGACATTAAATTGGTGTTAGAACAGTAGTTTTCATGGCTATCTTTCTAAAGTTCTGTCTATTCAATGAGAGGCAAAAGATACTAAAGGGATAATTAAAATCACAAGTCGAAAATAAACTGACAAATGCCTTGAAAAAAAACGAAAAACAACCAAAAGACAAAACAATATACAAAACACACATAGAAAATTAAAGACAGAGCAACGCCACAATAAAAAATGGGCTGTTCTCAGGTTCTCTGGAAGGATAGGCAGATCCTGCTCCACATGTGCTCTCCGTCATGTTGCTAATGTAATTATAAAAAATCGGTGATATGTCACATTCGAGGAATAGAGGACGGGATTGTGGTTACGACAATTGGAACCTATCGGTTGTCATCGATGAAACAGGTATTCCATAACGATCAACCAACTGATGGCATCCATAAAATTTTCCAAGAGATGATTTCAACTTCAACACTTGGAACTCTTCATTTAAAAGCTTCTTTGTAAGCTTTAGTCCTCTTTTAAGGAAATCATGATAGAAATTGCAAGCTCTTGAATATCTTATCAACTTGGAGATATATACTTCATAAGCCAGCGCTGCTGTAATGTTGCTACATAGAAATTGAAAGTTCACAATTTGGAACCTGAAATCATTTTTTTTGTCTAATGTTTTGTTCTCAATCGACCCTCATTGTCAATTTCTAGATGTAAGTCAAGATATGAGGCAGACTTAATTGTATCTTTTGTAAGCTCGATAGGAAAGATGCGTCCAACATAGTCACCAAACTTTGAATTATTAAGTGAGAGGACATCATCTTTTTAGCGTAAAGTGAAGTTAAAGGATAATGATAGCTTCTTTTCATTCTTTCGAAGAAGCTCCTGTATGGAGTCTTCCTCATATGAATAAAGTAACAAGTCGGTGAAAAGGAACACAGTTGATTCCCATGCGAATGCTGATTATTTGTTAAAAAAACACGTTCCACAAACATAACAAATATGTTGTCAATCAACATATCAAGAGTTGATTGTGTCAGTTTCAGAAATGTTTTGTTTGAATCCGAGAGTTTTTTAAAACAAAGTACGAGTAATTCCTAATGGTGTTAAAGTATATTTGTTTCGCCTAACAAAAGTTCACCTGGAATATTTCAAAATATAATTGTTTCCATATGAAACTCATATTATGGAGGAACTTCCGGGGCCTCTGTGGCCAAGTGGTCGAAGTAGTCCAACAACTGTAGCACTAGCCTGTCAACACTGAGGTTGTGAGTTCAAATCCCGCACGTGGTAGGTGCGTTCGACTCCAGTCTTAACCGACTAGGATTGACCTACCGAAGGTCGATGCTTCTCTCCGACACTCAGGCTTCCTCCACCAAATAAAAACTGACCGCCACGAAATAGCGCAAAAGTTTTGAAAGATGCGTTAAACACCTATCAATCAATCAATGAAGGAATTCCATTTCATGATACGGCAAGATACTTGTATATACGTTGGCCAAATAAGGACCCTCATTTAAACTCACTGTTCCATGGTTAACCACACAAAATTTAGATTAAGAAAGAAAGGGAGAGGAACACTGGGTCAAACGGGGCAACGAAAAGGGTATGTTGGAGCTTGTATTGTATTGTAACCTGAGAGTATGATTCTTTTACAGAATCGCTTGTCTCCTCCGGGACTTGAACCTGGGACCTTAATTTGTGTTACAAGACAGCGCGTTAACCGACTGAGCTAAAGAAATATTTGGAAATAGCTCACGACTGACTAAGTATCTACTAATGAAGGGAAGAAATCCCGTCACAGTATTTACTATCATGATTTACTTGATAGAGGGTTGCTGCTCACAAGGAAGCTATTAAGGTTCATTAAAAGGAATTGAAAAATATGGTCGTGTTTACACCACCAAATCTGTCATGAGTTCAGACAAACTGATGCATCTAGGAAAGTTTTAAGGCATAGCAAGATATATATATATATATATATATATATAGATTGCCTAACAATGTAATTTTAACACACTATTTAGTATGTAAATATAAGAATGTTTAAAATATTTACAAAATGATGAAAATAAACGCAATATTTCGCTAGACTAACTAGCTTTATCAAGCGTGCATCTATCCAGGTGAAATCGGATGTAGATGATAAGAAACTTTTGCAGCTCAATGTATATGTTGCACTTGAATTTAGCTGCCTTGAAAATAATACATAATTTGGATGAAGTTCAAGATTTTTACAAAATTGGTAGTTGAAGTTAGCAACGTCCATTGGCCAATATTACAGGATAAAAAGGACGATGCTGTGTACTAAATTATTCTTTATCTTTCCTGTATCTTAGCTAGCAGTTCTTTCATCAGCTCCGTTACTAAACAAAATTATACCATCTACTCAAATTCCAACTGTAAAACGGAGAACTCAATTTATATATTAACATGTGACACATGTGGCATTCAGTATGTGGGAGAAACAATGGACAAATTTAATATTCGGCTCAATAACCATCGTTCATGGTACAAAACCAACAAAAACTGTCCTCTCACAAGACATCTTCGTTCAACGAAACATTCTTTTGATAATGTTACCTTCCAAATCATAGAAGTCAACACCGAGTGGGACACCACGGCGAGAAGGAGAAGAGAAAATTTTTGGATCCACCAACTCCACACTTTAGAACCTGATGGTCTTAACGAAAAAGATGAGAAAAGATACAGGAAAGATAAAGAATAATTTAGTACACAGCATCGTCCATTTTATCCTGTAATATTGGCCAATGGACGTTAATTGCTAACTTCAACTACCAATTTTGTAAAAATCTTGAACTTCATCCAAATTATGTATTATTTTCAAGGCAGCTAAATTCAAGTGCAACATATACATTGAGCTGCAAAAGTTTCTTATCATCTACATCCGATTTCACCTGGATAGATGCACGCTTGATAAAGCTAGTTAGTCTAGCGAAATATTGCGTTTATTTTCATCATTTTGTGAATATTTTAAACATTCTTATATTTACATACTAAATAGTGTGTTAAAATTACATTGTTAGGCAATCTATAATTTTATTTGTGTAATTGAATTAATCTCTGTACTGATTAATCCACACTCCCATAGATTTGTATGTCATGTGCTGCTATTTATAGGCACTTATATATATATATATATATATATATATATATAAGTTATTTGTAGTTTATGTTTCAGAAAATACTTACCTGGATTTTGATGTGCATTTTTTTCCAGTCTGCAGAAGATGAAAAAAAAAATAAACTAACATGAGTTTCATTTGATACGGTCCACTCAGTTACACAGTTTAAGGATGTTCGCTACTCTGTTTCAAAATAATAAGCTTTTTAAAAGACTGTTATAAATTGATAGTATATAAATAAAGTAACTAAAAAAGCAGATAAAATTGAAGGGTCCGTGTGCTTGTTTTCGAGATATAAGCCATTGAAAATTTGGCGGGAAATGATTCTCTCTAGATTTTTCATACATTTAACATTGGCACCTTTTTATACGACCGCAAAAATTAAAAATTTTTTGGTCGTATATTGGTATGACGATGGCGTCGTCGTCGTCGTCGTCGTCGTCGTCGTCCGGCGTCGTCCGAAGACACATTGGTTTTCGCACTCTAACTTTAGTTTAAGTGAATGGATCTCCCTCCATGAAATTTTACCATAAGGTTCAATACCACGAAAGGAAGGTTGGGATTGATTTTGGGGGTTATGGTACCAACAGTTAAGGAATTAGGGGCCAAAAAGGGGCCAAAAATAAGCATTTTTGTAACTTCCAGACAATAACTTGTGTGTAAGTGTATGGATCTTTCTGACATTGTACCACAAGGTTCCATATCACATAGGGAAGGCTGTAATTGATTTTGGGGGTAATTGCCTCAAAATTTTAGGAATTAGGGACCAAAAAAGGGGCAAAAAACAAGCATTTTCTAGTTTCATGACAATTACTTGTGTGTAAGTGTTTGGATATTTCTTAAATTGTACTACAAGGTTCCATATCACAAAGGGA